TTTTGCATTCATATTAATGTGGCATCTTCATGCTAATTGAGAAAACGATTTATGTTAATGGAAAATATATTAAATAAGTTGGTTTGCTGGAGGAGCATGCTGGAGGGCAGGTAACCTGGGAAGAACACCAGTGAAAGGAAAGATCTGTTAGACAAACATAAAGGACACTGAAGTTTTACATATTTTCAAAGTTGAAATCAATAATGAATGACTAAAAGCATTGTTTACTACATCAAGAAAATATAAAAGAAGGTGTCTTTTTTCTTTTCTAGATTTTGAGAAATACTTGATAAAGTCATCAAAGAGAAGAGAAAGAATTTAATGCTCGCTTCATATACAGCTGTATCCCAACTCCTAAAATACCTGAGGCAGAAAAAGGGGCAAAGTAAATATTGAAAACAGAAGTTAATTATATATTTTTTTCTAATTTGTAGCAATAAACTTCACTCTTCCCTCTACTCTCACTGACAACTTTTTATAAGTTTTGTTGAACTAACCCAATATTCAAAAAGTCTCCATATAGTTAAAGAAACCAACCCATGTACTTCAGACTCCATCTTTTAAAACCCCATCTATACATTAAAATTATCAGGAAACTGCACGAATGCATGGACAATTAGGTAATGGTGGTGATGGTTAGATGCAATTGAGTCGGTTCCCACTCATGGCAACACCATGTACTATGTACATGGCCAGTTCCTGAGGACATGAAATCCAAATTCAGAGTGATGTTGAGAAACTAGAGAAGTTGGAAGTAAACTGAATGACATTTAGTATGAAAGACTGAGAGGGAGTACATGTGATGCTTAACAGGCGATATACATATTAGATGGAGGAAGAATTGATTTTGCATGCATTCATTCAACAGATGTTAAGTGCTTAATACTGGAAGGCAGCGGGCCTCAATACTGTAAGACAGTGGGGCCAGAGTACCTGGGTCTGAATTCCAGGGTCATCACTTACCAGCTGAGTGATCCTTGTTACTATGTGCCCGTGACTCAATTCTGACTCACAGCAACCCTACAGGACCGAGTAGAACTGCCCATTGGGTTTTCTAGGCTGGAATCTTTATGCGAGCAGATCACCAGGTCTTTTCTCCATAGGAGCCCCTGGTGGGTTCGAACCCCTAACCTTTCGGTTAGCAGCCAAGCTGCTTAACCATTACACCACCAGGGCTCCTTTTTTGTGCTTTTTAGGCAAGTTATTTATTTAAGCCTCTCTGTCCCTCAGGCTTCTCATCTATAAAACAGGAATAATGACAGTATCTAATAAGTTGTCAGAAGGATTAAATAAGTTAATGTTTGTAAAGCAGTTTAGAATAGGTGCCAGGCACGTGTGCACACACGCACACACATATACACACACACACACACACACACACACACAACATAGTTACATAAAGTTGTACTGGTTAAGTAATTAAAAAAATGAACACGTAGACCAATAAATGACCATTCCCATCCCATTGCTGTGGAATCGATTCTGACTCATGGCGACTCTATAGGACAGAGTAGAACTGCCCCCCAGGGTTTCCAAGTCTGTAATCTTAAAGGAACCAGACCGCCACATCTTTCTCCTGCGAAGCGGCTGGTGGGTTCAAACCAACTGACCTTTCAGTTAGCAGTCAAGCATTTAACCACCCTGCCACCAGGGCTCCTAAATGACCATTAGTTGACCAGAAAGCATCATAACTGATGATTTAAACAAGGCACAAAGCATAAAACAGTGGCACAGGAAAGTTAAAACAATGTTCTCTGAATTTCCCAGGCTTTTACGCAGGTCCTATTTTCGGTTATGTAGTCCCTTTAGAAGTTTAGAGCCACTGCGATGAGTAGTGGTTGGAAAATGATGTAATATTTCTGATGTGAAAGGAAAGGCTGAAGTGTTTCACACTGACCTTTGATCAGAATCACTGCCCTAACAAAGAACCTGGTGAGCCACTGCTCAATATCTCCCGAGAAGATGGAAAAAGGGAAAATAAGCAAGCACACTGAGAGGGCTTTGGGCTAGATATCTGGGCACATTTCTGTATCACAAATTCCTAAGTATTAGAATGGATTGCTGAGAAGGGCTAAGGAGACTACTTCTTTGGAAGTCTTTCAAACAAGGCTAGATAGGGTCTATCTGGTCTGCCGGGTATGGTTTAAAATCAGTGCTGAGTGAAGATTAATGGTATAGACTGCCCCTTGAAGGCCTCCTTCTGAGGGAGCACTCTCTGAGCGTTTAACTTTACATACTCCCTGTCACAGTCCCTCATGTGGTGGGTTTCAACAACTCCCCTGTACCTAGAAAAGGGCAACACTTTCACAATTTTGAGTTCTCAGTAAAACTTCAATGGCGTGATGAGACAGAATATCCTTATTACTTCTCAGTTATTTTACCAAGCAAGCTACCTGCAAGTATCTTTCAATCAGAAACAGCTCTATCAATCTGAAATCTTAACAGCAGTTATTTTAAACGCATGTTCCCTGACAGACTAATGGCATATGCTATTTCTCAAGCAAACTATTAAAAGTCCAAACAAGGCAAAGCAGGAAAAGGAGTTTAAAGAAAAGATAACCACCCTAGGAACTCTTATTTATACTAGATTATTAAATATATATACACAACATTATTAAATATATATAAAATCAGGAATTAGGGAGAAGAAGCTTGTGTTCATTTTAATAACAGCATATTTGCTAGGTGATTCTTTCAGCAAAAAAAAAGAAAGCTGCATCAGTGAAGTTTACTTTGAAAATAGCATATATAAAGACACAATTATCTTTCAATTCATTTATTTTCCTATCAAATGTGCCTCTGACCCCACAGTGACCTCTATCGTGATTACATCCACCAGCGTCAATGGACACCAGGCTTAAGGCAAAGTCAACAATGCCCTCAGTCCTAGAAAATGAATTTAACAAAAGTGCGCACATATTAGAAATTCAAAGCTAATTAACAAGCCCTGTAATTGCAAAGAGGTGGGGGTGGGGGAGTGGAAAAAAAAACTTCTGTAGTTAAAAAATCTAATGAAGGGTTTATATTAACCACTAGGAATGTTCTCAGCAATGTAAATGATGACTACAAAAATGATTTACATTGAAAATTTTCACCTCGGTATTAAGGACATTTGCAACCTGCTGAGAATGAACTGTACTCCCCGAGTGTTCCATTATCCACTAAAAAATACAGAAGCAATTTTTAAATCCTTAACTATTTTCTCCTTTAAGATATCTTATCTGAAATCATGTTGGGAAATACCGGTGAGTTTCAAAGATCCCGTTATAAAAAGCCCAGATCACAGAAGAGAAGTTCCTAGGAGTGATCCATACTAAAGCCTTTAAAAGTTGAATTCCCTGAGATTTGGGGAGGAAAAAACAAAGAAAGGCTGATCCTTATCAATTAATTAAAAAGAATGAAATAACAGTAGACAAAGGGGAAGGAGAAACCTAAGGAGCTGTGGGGGCAGTCGCCCTCCGTTCATTGATTAACAAATTAAGGAGTTGTAGAAAAGGAGGAAGAAGTGACAGGGATAGAAAAGTAGGCTTCTGATTCACCACAGGTTCCGCCTTCTACTCACTAGAGCCTTCAGCTGGTTCTGAATTGAAAAAAGGCTCCCTGTATATAAAGTGCCGCGCTACTGGTTGGTGTTTGGGCTTTGCGCCCCCCCCCCCCCGTTTTCTTTTTGGCAATGCTTAAATGTACATAAATGTGTTAATTTCTGTGTACGTGGTTAACAAAAATCTTTTCTAGACTTTGGATAGCAACCACAATAAAGTAACAATTCTACTAAGTATGGAAACTGTGATGTTTTAAGGTATCTGCAGAATGCTTTCATCGCTCGACCAAGCCGTTTTAGGCAAAACGCGGAGACAAGCTGAAGGAAATTCAGCGTTTTGACCTGACGATCTGAGGTCACTGAGGACTTCAGCTGCGGGATTTGAGCGGCCCGCGCCCTCGCAGCATCTCCTGGCCTCTCTCTGCCGCTCAGTTTTGCTCTCACCAGCCAGAGGATTATCTCTCCCCAACACGTTTCATTCACAGAGCCCCAGAGAAGCAGGGACTGGGTTGGAGCTAAGAGCTGGAAAACACGCACCCAGGCTGCGCAAGTTAGAGACCAAGTGCTACCCATACACCGGCGCCCTCAAGCTCTCGGTGGAGGAAGGCTAGTGGCCTTGTACGCGGGGGACCTTGGGTCCGCGGACTTCACCCCGAGTCCCTAGTTAAGCTACTGGGAGTGGGTGGGTGGGTGAGCCCTACTTAGGATGGGGCGCAGCACCCAGTGTTAGGGGTGTCCCCCAACCCACAAGTGACCAACCGCAAGCGGGAAAGCACCGAGGAACCGTAACGGGAAAGCCCGCCCCAAATCCGAAATAAGCAGCTCAAGAACTACCCAAACCCGTCCTAAACTGCCTAAGTCCGGAGGCCAGCTCCCTGGCGGGGACTCCCAGCCTCGCCCGGCCCCGGCCCAGGTGCCGTGAGCTCTGCCTCCCGGCCGGAGAGACAGTGGGGCGAGGGGCTGAGGGAGCCCTCCAAGCGTCTCCACCTCCCCCGCCGGCGCGAGGGCGGGAGTGGAGAAGGCGCCACTCAGACTGTGGCGCTGGGCGAACTGCGGGCGCAGTTCTGCCAAGTTTGCCCAAGCGAGAGCACGGGGTAGGCGCCCCGCTCGGCCATCTACCTCGCCCCGCGGCCGCCCCCGAGTGTTCGTCCTTCCCGGCCCGCCCGGCGCAAGCCAACAACGAAGGGGGTGCAAGGCGCGGGAGAAGAAGAAGGGAGGAAGGGAAGGAGGGCGCTCCCGCGTGTGCACACAATGAGGCAGCTGAGACGCACACCTTCCCCCGCGGGAGAAGCCGCAGGAGCATCCATCGCCCGCCGCGGAGCTGCGGAGTACCGGGGACCCACGGCCGAAAGTGAACACCAACTACTCAGCAACAGGGGGAAGGAGCAGGGCGCCGGGCGGCAGGGGACGTGCAGCCGCCAAGGGTTGCAGCCCGCCACGGCCGCGCGCCCGCGCTTACCTGCGATCTCCTGGTAAGGGATGTCCGCCAGGCTGAATCCCTTGGCACCGTACGCCTGGCGGACTTCGCCGCAGCTCCGAGCCTTCACATCCGCCCTGGCCGGGAGGGACAGCAGCAGCCCGGAGAGGGAAAGAACCACAGCACCGATCCAAGAAGGCATGGTGCAACATGCAAATCCAGCTCGGTAAACCCCAGGGCCCGTGCGCTCTTCACCTAGCCCCTCAAGCCGAAAGCCCGCCAGAGCCAGCGGCGCGTTCCTCGTCCAGCGTCACCCCCTTCCGCCAGCCGAGGGGACGAGCAGCGCAGCCCTCTGGACTGCGCTCAGCAAACTTTTATAAGCCAGATGGAGGATGGCAAGCCAACCAGGGCTGACTGGGAAAGCAGCCGCCTTGCTCCTCTAGCCCCCTAGATCGAAAACGGTGCGATGAAAACGAGGGAGAGGAGAAGAAAAAGAAATGTTTTTTTTTTTTAAAAAAAAAAAAAACAAAAAAAACCACTATGGGGGTTCAGAGCTGCGATCCGATTTCCGAGCCGCAGAATCGTGGAGCGCTGCGAGCTCGGCTCGCCTGAGCGTGCAGCGAAGGTGGGAATGCGCGCCGGCTCTCCCGGGAGGGAGATGGACAGGCGCGCGCGAGTGTGTGTGCGCGTGTGTGTCGGTGTAAGCGCGGGGTTCTTGGGGATGTGTGTGCGTGGAGGTATGTGTTGGGGATCTACGGGATCCAGGGAAAACCTCAGCTTCACACACGCTAAGAGAGCCTGTGAGAGTCCTCCTGAAATAGGAAGAGAGAAATCCTGGGAACAGACACTGGAGGCTCGAGGGAAGGAGAAAGGAGGGGAGAGAGAGAAACGCGCTACACAGTGCACAGCCGAAATTCAGAGGCAGAGTAGAAGGCAAAACCTGGACTGGATCTCTCTCTACTCGGTAGAAAAAAAGATAATAAAGGAAACATTCCTATTTTCTCGTTCCCTTCACATCCTTCATAGTGATCCGAAATGCTACGTTTAATAACATAAATAAGCAAGCTAGGAAGGCAAAGAGTATTTTTAAGTCTTTAACTTATGTTATTAAACCATATTTTTGTGGACATGAAGGACAAGGCAATTCCAATTGTTGCTCTTAATATGTTGGCGACCTACTGAAACACAAACCAGGGTAGAAATTAATAGGGGAAACGCTGGGTAGTAGAACACAGTCACAGCTCCAGTTGGTTGTCTAATTTCTGTTTGGCTGTTTTTGTTTTCTAAAGACAGATAGTTTGTATATGCATTCTAGACCAGTAGCTCTTTATTTTTCAATTTTTGGTTCTGGACTCAGAATTTCCCCCTTCTTCACTTGAAATATTCCCTAATCTTGGATCAGAAGTCATTACGCTTAGGTTTCTAGTGTGTGGAGGAACAGGAAAGCGAAGAAGAACCGGAACACAGAAGCAATGAGAAAGGAGAGAGTAAGGGTCAGTGGGGTGCCTGAAGGAAGATATTGTGGGGAGAGGGGCAATGTCTTCCTTCCCTCTCCGCACATGCTCACACATACTAGACTTCTCCTTTTCTTCTAAGTTTACAGAATTCTCGAATGGGGAATCAATTCACTTTATTCTTCTGGTAGCTCTTCCCGTTCACTCTGAAATGCTGTGAAATGAGATAAAAGTGAAAATTCAGGTTTGTCTAATTTTCACTGACTTTTTTTTGTTAATGGCGCATTGAACTCTGCTAGTCAGCAGTATTTGTTGAAACATAAATCTCAGGCAACGAGCACATTTTGATGTTAGGTTAAAGAAACCAATAGTTTAATCAAAGCCAAACAAAGGCTCTTTCTCACTCACTTGCGGTCACATACACATTAGGTCAACACATTACTCAGAAATTACTGGTGGGTGATGTCCAGTTCTGTGGAGCTCACCTAGAAAGCTACCCATGAAGATGTTTTCCTAATGAGTCTGTTAATGACCAGAATGATTCATAAGATTTAAGTCATTCTATTTGTCATCACCATCACAGTCATCATCTTCATCATGACAACGCGTTAAGTCCATCTTCGTCGTCCTCCCTTTAACAAATCCCTTCTCTCTTAATCCACCAAAAAGACTCTCAAGTTTAAGATCCAACCTCATTTAAGCTATGAAAATGCTTTTAAAAATGAGGTTGTCTTACTTATACATTGACTTTTTCTTTCTCAAAACTCCATAACTCAGCCTATCTTTTGAAATCACTCACATAACATTTTTTTTTTTCTTGAATTATTAGCCCAATTTTTGCCTTCATGATAGTGTCCTAACTGGAAGGCCTTAAATCACTGAAATTATTTTCCTCAAAGTCTGAAATCAAGATGACAACAAAATACATTGGTGTCTTTGTGGCCAAAGGATGAGGCTGGTAGGATCTGGAACTGCTGTAGCCAAGTCATTACTGCTACGATATTTGACAACATGACCTCCTTTAAACCCCCGATTTCTCTCGTAGCCAGGTATTAATCATTTTACACTCCAGTGAAAGGGAGTAAACACCACATACCCTGTCCTATCATCTCATATGCTGATTCATTGTAATTTACCCTGACTGTACCAGCATATAGCAGGCAATGCAATAAAAAGGAAATTTGAGGTGGGGGAAAAATAGGTAAAAACACAGTATATGTGGTTTTAAATTATTTTAATCATTAAGTATTCAATAAGCATTCAATGCAGCTATACAGCATTAGGCTACTGTACATAGTTTCTCCGCTTATAAAACAACCTTAGGATTTGTGACAAGGTAGATAATGGAAAGAATTACTAATTTACTCAAGCATAAACAAATTAGTTTAATCCCATGGGGGAGGGGGAACTTGAAGTAATTTAGGGTAGGTTTGTGAACTTTACTCAGACCAAAGAATTAGGTAACTTGCTTTCCTGGTGCTCACACCCCCTGTTTGGTTTGCTTGTTGGGTAATGCAGCGCTGTTTGAAGTGGTACCAGAGACAAAGTCAGACATTCCAGTTCAAGGGAACAGCAGGAGCCTAGATGAATATTGCAGTAAGCATAGAATGCTAGGGAAGTTCAAGGAAGGGGCCTGACTACAAAGAAGAGAGCTCATATTGAGAAGTGGGCTTTGGGTTTAGATAGAAGGAAGGATTGGTGGAGGACTTGAACCCCAGCTATAGTATTTATACTGTACGTAGTAGGAGAAAAGTTAGAACATTTGAAGAACATCATGCAAGAGGAATCAAGCAAATAAAAGCAAGAGAAAGGCAAGTAGGAGAAATACATAGGATTCTGTAAAGGTTTGAGATCATTAATACGTATAGTAGGAGAAATAGAAAGAAGATGAAGATGAATTTTGAAAGGATTAGCATGATTTGTTGCCTGGTTTGATATACAAAAAGAATTACTAAAATTTTATTTTAAGATTGTGAGTCTCATTGGAAAAATATGGTGTATCTATTAAAGGGCACTACAGCCCCAATTTATACAAAAGTTTAATATTACCCCTTCCGATTTTTACAACAACTCCTTTTGGCCATAAAATGTATGGAACCTCAAATCCTTTGAGTAGTAGAGAGAAAAAGACTTAGTCCTGAGGAGAAGCCACAGTTGATGGGCATGTAGAGCAGCCACTGTGAGTCACCTACCCCATAGCCATCGTCCCTTTTTCCTTGCTACCCTAAGCTGACTGTGTTTGGTAGACAATGTGCTGTAATCACAGAATGAACAACAACTGGTCTAGGCTAGTCTTAGCAATCTTTTTCCTTTTTCCATTAAAGGATGAGAGAGCCTCATTTCTGGCCAATGAGATACAAGCAGAAGTTTTCTTAGAAAACTTTTCCCTGATTAAAAAAGAAAGAACTATAGGAGCAGAAAGGTCTTTTTGCCTTAGCCTTCTTTCTTAGGATGTGTTGCTTAGAGCTGGCCTGCCATCTTGTGACTAAGAGATAAGACATTGTCAACGGACAGGGAATGCCATAGCAGAAGGATGGAAAGAACTTACATCTTTCGTGTCCTGTTTGAGTCACCAAACCAGCCCTAGGACTGCTTACCTCTGGACTTCTTGTTAAGTAATCAATAAATATCATTCTAATTTAAGCCACTGCCAGTTGGTCATTCTGCGGTTTACAAATGAAAGCACTCTAAAATAGATACTGCAAACTAGAGGAAAGAAAAGAGAAATGGAAGGCAAGAGACAGGGATTAGTTTCAGAAACAGGAAGATAACAAAAATGGGTAGAATCACAGAATCCAAGTTAGAAGATTTTTAAACATGAAACAAATTGCAGTGGTTATCAAGGATAAGCAAGTTGGAGAAAATGTTACTTGGATGATGATAAAGAGGCTTACTGGATATTTCAAGGGAAACATTTTCATAAAGAAATGGGGTGGATGCCAGACCACATGGAATTGTATATATGAAGTGGGTGGAGAGAATATGGAAACATCAAGTATAACCCAATACCGTGTGGTAAAATCCCTGTATGTGAACGGGGCAAGTATTGTCAGGGAAACTTCCCAGATGAAGCTTCCAAGACTACAGGAGGAATGAGAGATTAGACATAAAAAGTGATTAACATTCAATATAATCTTACTTGATAGTTTGATTTTAAATTTTTCTTCTCTTTCTTATCTGCATTTTCTAAGTTTTCAACAGTAAATGTGAGGTCCTTTTTATGCTGAGAAAAAAATATTTATTTACATGAGGAACATGATTAATGTCACAAAAGTGTGCATGTGAAGATGGTAGAAACAGCAACTGTTTGCTACCAATATATTTACCACAATAAAAAATATAAAATAAAAATACAATTCATCGTTATTTAATGATGATAATGTTTGTGTCATGTTTTGCAAAGTAAAGGGGTCTTTATCTCATGTATGTTAAAACAAATGGTTGTTAATACTTTTCTTAATAAAATAACAACTCGGGATTATGAAATTTTTGTTGTTGTGTATTTTTTAAAAGCCTTAAAAAAAAAAAAAGAATTACAGAATTTACTATTCTTTGGCTCAGGTGAGCCAATTTATGAATGAAAAACTAGATGAATTTTAGTTTTTTTCTTTGTATGTTTAGATCAAAGTAGGCCAAATAATTTCAAGTAAAATCTTATGAAAACAAGAGAATGGACTTCAAGTGTCTATTCCACATCTCAGCTTGGCACAAATCGAAATCCCTTAGTTAAACTGCCGCTTGAAAAACAGGTCCTATAATGAAAAAGCTGTCAGAAATTTAACAACAGTATCTCTGCCAGGTGCCTGGGTAATGGGAAGGTTGCTGAGTTACAGAGAAAGAAAAGGTAAAGTTGGAAAAATAATGACCAGAAATGGTGAAAATAATGTTTCATTTTTTTTTCTCATGGTTTATGTGCAACCAGATC